TACCTTCCCAGACTACGTAGTGCTCCACTGGGGACTGTGGCCTTGGGTTCCCCCTTGAAGGGGCTGGCCCCACCTTCCCATTGCCACCCAGTCCCACGAGCATACGCTGAGTACATATGTCTTGTAGTTTTCATTGTACTGTGTTACTGGGGAAATGTTTATATTCTTCCCTGGGTACCCCCTGGCCCGGATGCTCTCGTGCCCTGACCGGTCGGAGTGGTGTGGACATGTGAGGCACGTCATGGTACCGTGTGTGCAGTTACATCTCCTGAAGAGAGAGCCCATGCCTCTACTGCCGTGCTCCTGAGACCCTCAGATTGCAGAGTAGCACCTGGTACCGGGGGTCCTCCAGCCTGAACCTATGCATCTTATGTACCACTGTTTTATGTTGGGGTTTTCTCTATTTAATTGTTTTATGATCTGGAGGCGCTTTGACTTACAGTTTACTGGGCAATTTTACCTGTTCCATACTATATCCCTTTACACTTTCACAAGTTCTGGACCCGGAGCTGCTTCTCAGCTTCGAGACTTCTAGGTTTAGCCTCCCCCCCATTAGGCCTTACCCATCCAGGGACACGCTCCCTGGATTGGTAACTTTGAGGTTTTGATCCTCAGATGGGAACACCCTTTCTCGCTTTTCCCGCGCTCTCTTAACCTCGGCTATTTCTTGTCGTTCCCCCCCCCCCCCCTAGTATCCTAGTCTTTTTCCCTCTTCTACCGGCCTTCCCTTCTCTCCTTTCTACTCTTCTCCGCCTGACAATTACTCCTTCCCCGACTCCCTTCCACATAACAATGAATCCAGTGGTTCCTTATATCGTACAATGTGAAAGGTTTAAATACTCCTGAGAAAAGGACTTCGGTCCTCCATGAGTTGCACTGACTCCGTGCCCAGGTCTGTTTTATCCCAGAGACTCACTTCCGTGCGTCTCAAATACAGAGGTTCCAGAATCACCTATACCCTCATGCCTATCATTGTAGTTCGCCGGACGCTAAGACCAAATGGGTCAGCCTTCTGTTCCACGGAACCTCAGGATGGCAGCTATCGGAGACTTGGTGCTGCCCCAGCGGCCGTGCTCCTTTCATGAAGGGGAAATTGGGGTCTCACACGTGCACCTTTGCCAACCTCTACTTACCCAATACCCATCCAGTACAGTTTCTCGAGGCCATCCTGGATCGACTTTACTCCTTTACGGAAGAGGTCGTAGTCGTGGGAAAGGATCTTCATTTTACCCTGGACCCCCTGCTTGATTCCTCCAGTGCCTCTTTCCACCTCTCGTAAGCTTGCCTCAAGCGGCTCCGCAAATGCCTACGCCATTGTCAGCTCTTGGATGCCTGGAGGATTCTACATCCTTCGGATAAGGACTACAACTTCTACTCCAACCCCCACCAGTCATATACACGCATTGATATGTTTTTGATCCGCCACGGTGTTCACCCTAGGGTTGGAAGGGCCTCTATCGGTTCCATTTCCCTATACGATCATGCCCCAATAACCTTGGATATAGATCTGTCACTCCTCCCCCCCCCCCCCCCCCCCCCCGGAGCTTGGAACTGGAAGCTCAACGAGAACCTCCTCCAGGACCCTGTAGTAGTAGGCGATGTTCGTAGGGAACTAGATACCTACTTTTCCATCAACTCTGTTCCAGCATGTGACCCGATGATCTTATGGGAAGCACATAAGACATACATTAGGGGAATCTTTATTAAGCACGGTTC